ATCCTTTTCCGGAGGCTCGACTGTCTCCCGGAGCCTTCAGTCTATTCTGAAGATTGAAAATTATTTGTCTCTTTTTAGCCAAATTATAAAAGTAGGAGGTTATCAATTCGTCTGTATTTTTTTTGAGTACCATCTTACACTAAATATTAGCAGCTCGGTCTTACGTTAGTATTATAAAATGTAATCATATAAGATAATTAAAAAGAAATGTTTGAAATATTCAAAGTCAATCAAATATTATACTGTATTAATTTTTGCAAAAGTCAGTGGTGTTCGTTATCAAACAATTCATGTTTCTTATTACTGGAAGGCTTCGTTACCTGCGGAGGCTCGTCCGCCCCTCGCTATACTGGTTTGTTGACGTTTTTTGTCGCATTCCGACAACAGCTGATCGGCACAACAAACCAACGCATGTGTTCATCTCTACGCAGCCCCATTGGCTCCCCTCAACCCCTATTTACATTGGAGTGCATTCAACTTAACTCTCGGAGCGAGTGAGATTTAATACTACTTACCTTTGGAAAATCTAAATAAAAATTGTACTAGATTACAAGACAAACTCAAAAAGTATTATAAATTCATCTTTTCTCTTCTACAGAACTATGAAAGCGTAATTTTATTAAACTACACTAATTCGCCTTTCGTTTCTTTTTCGTTTTAATGAATTTATTCGACCAGAAATTCATATAATTATCAATGAGATTTAAAAGTATCTATTTCTATTCGCCCCGGATTGATTAATAAAGGTCAAGGAAATAACATTTGCTTAATAATTGTGCAGGAATCGAAAATTTTAAATCAAGGAAACGAATTCTTGATTGAATCGCTACAAATATGTAAAACTGCTCGCATTTATGTACACAATAATATGGTCGTTAAATTAATCACCTCATTAATTAATATTAAAGACTGGTTGTAATTAATTCTAATAATTAGTGTATTTTTGGTAATCTTTAAACGGTCAGTTTATTTTTGCATTCCACGTAAACTTATTCGGCTAAATCATTATGATCATTATTATACTACACTTCCATGGAAAGATGTTTACTAGACTGCTTGAAAACCAAAAAGATCACGAGATATTTTTTTCAGGATAACTATGTGTCGTATATCTTGGTAAATATATATCTAGAAATTTATTCAAACATCTTGACGGCTCGTAACTTCGCACGAGTTTTCGCATATTTACTTTTCATTGCGTAAAAAGGTTAAATAAAAAATAGCGAAATAAAAAATGGCGGCAATATTCTTATTAGAAAAAAAAATTGTTATATTATAATCGATTGAGTTTAAAGAACAAAAAGTAAAACGTGCTTCGAATATTTTTATTGCCGTTATAGAACGTGATTGTTTCATGGACGTGATCTTTCTTAAAAATATCTGTCTTTTGAAATGTAAACATAGATGAAACGACCTTAAGTTATTATGAAAGTTTTTGTTGCCTTATCACTGTTACAAATACGATCGCATTGAACTGTACACAATTAACTTGTTCGAGTAATTAATATCATGTTGATACACTATTTTTATTTTATTATTTTTGGCAATTTAAACTTTTGATACTTCAACTAGATAAATGGACAACGAATCTAAATACGGTAGAAACTTTTGCTGTCTTTACTAATTTTTTAGTTAGTGTTTCCTGGGAGATAAAAAAACAGTATTGTTAAACAAGATGTAATTTTATGTATATTTTATTTTAATTGTAACTGACACGTGCATACATATACTAATAACATTAAAATATATAAATCCTCTTTAAATCATCCAGATTCCAGTCAACTTACAACTAACTACTACGGCCATCAATAAAAAAATATTATTAATTATATTATCATTATTGGAATTTTTCTATTGCCAGTTGTACGTGCTTATTTTATATTTAATACGTGCATATAAGAAATCAAACAATATATGAACCTAAAATAATCTATATTGTATATAACATTGTAATAGGCTTACACGCTTAGATTTTTTTTATCTTTGTCACGATTTTCACAATATCATATTGCTTTAGTCTTCATACTGTGTTGCATTATTGTGTTCATATCAATACCAATAATATATTTCACAAGAAAATAATATAATAGAACAACAGACAAGGTTGGCTATAGATCTAAATGTTTTTGCACTTTTGTGTTAATTTGTAGCTCTATCAGAGTTGCAAAACATGTAAAATATCGTATCTACGTCTTACTACTAATTTCACGTATTGTATTTATTGTCACTCAGTGGTTAATTACTTGACTTGCAATCTGCAGGTCTTGGGTTCGAATCCTGTCATGTCAATTCTTCTTTTGTTTTTCGATTAACATACGTACATTTATCCGAAGTTCTTACGGTGATGGGAAACATCGTGATGTAATCTGCACATTCTCTTAGAAGAGATTCAAAGATATTTGTGAAGTCAACTAACTTGCACTGGGTCAGCGTGGTTGACTATGGCCTTGTCAACTCTAACTTAGGGTAGTTCCTCAGTGGGAGTGTTATAGTACGAGTAACTGTTCGATAGTTTTTCAAATCGATTAGACTTATAAAAGAGGGTTGTCATACTCCAAAAGTATACACCTTTTAGATTTCTTCAGTTACCTAATACCACCGTATGAAATTGTGTAATCGTGTCAATTTAGAAAAAGTGATGCTCAGTAATTATAAAACAAATTAATAATTAATTAACACAACTTAATAAAATATGTCGTAATTAATTTTAAATAAAATAACGAGGTCATTATGTTAAGCATTTATTGTACGAAGTATATATTATTGCACATGGTCATTATTACAGTAATAGTAACATTTTAACACAACAACACAGCATTTAAATTATACCCAACTCAAAATAATAATTTTAAGCACCAATATCCTAGTAGTACCGAACTCCGTTCATGCAGTCGTAGGTTCGAATTCCCAGATTTAATTGTTATAGTAAACCGTATCCTAAGGACGAATTTCGTGTTTATTTGGACTGACTATAAGGAATGATAAGTTCAAAAATTGTCCACGCCATCTTTGATTTGGAAGCCGTTTGCGCGGATTTAAAAAAACAAGTTAATTAGTAGCCTATGTGTTCTAGACTATATTCTACATCTATGCCATATATGCTTTTCAGTGAGATTCATAAAACCGTTCCCGAGATATCTACAAACATCCATCCGTCCAAACATTCGCATTTATAATATTAGTAAGAAGTAACATATTCCAGTAATCTATACATTTAAATAAGGAACACATTACAGCATATCTCTAAACTTGATAAGTAATAATAGAATTAAAACGTTAATAATTCAATATTGTAGTTGCTAAGCAAAAATTTTGTTTTACTTGTATCGTTAACAAGTAAAGTTGTTAAAATACAATTAACTTTGTGTTGCAACTTTAAATCACAGCTGCACTTATTACCTTTTCGTGATTTTAATAACACGGTATTTATGTCAAGTGACGACAAAATGCTATTTTTTGTCTGTTATATCATGATAAAATATGGACTTTTCTCTTAATCTATTATACCTTTAGTATTAAAAGATTGCTGTGCATGCTTCTTACTAATATTATAAACGCGAATATTTGGATGGATGGATGAATTTCCAGTACGGCTGCATGGATCTCTCTGAAAGGCGTAGATATAGAACATAAAGCCTAGAAAAACGACAAAATATTAGTTGTCATGGGCGACAACTAGTATTTTGTATAAATCTTCGGCATAGCTGAGGATACATATTATGAAACAATATATATATTTTTTTTTCAAATGTATCTGCAACAGGTGTATTTTCGAAGTTATTTTATATTCTTACGCATAAATTAAACGTAAATTGTAATATTTTAGTGTTAATTGAATAGTCCTAATTAATTTCACGATGCTATTAATTTGTAGTGTAAAGTTGTAGGCAATGACTTGTCATAGCGCGAACAGTTGTGTGAACATAGTTATGTTATCCTTTATTATTATTATTAAGTGATTCAATAAAACATATGTAATTCGTTATGGACACGAGGAAATGTTTTTTTACTAATCCTTAGTTAAATTGTGAGTAAATAAACAAGGTTTAGTGCGTTTGCACCAGTAAGAATATTATATCAAAACTATCGAATATTTACATAATATTTTTTACCAGTATCAAAATGTGTGATATCAAATATGTATATTATCTGTATAATATTTATATACAGACTTGAGTAGTTGACCTTTATTTTGATTGCGACAAATATAGACTTATTACTTATATTGCAGCAGGGGTGCCCGTAGTCGCTACATATATGTACAGATACAAAGAAATATGTACAGTATAACTATGAACATGTATGTGTAAATAATCACGATGGATGATTGACCTTTTTGTCATCTTCCTCCGTCAATAAATAGTACTTAGGTTCCTAAGTTTGTTATAGGAATTTGTGATATACCTCTCGTTATTAGTTAAAATTAAAAATGTTTCCATGGATCGTAAGAATTGGAACTTTTCAATCGTTCGACCTAATTATCTAATAGATATGTGCGTAATTGTAACGAGGTCACGTTAATAGTGTTGCATAAGTGGGGTGCATCTGCTTGACATTTGAATCGACCCCGAATCCGAATAGAAACTGTGTCACGAATTATAGCCGGCGACCGGCTACCGGCGAGCGAGCACCGGCCGGCCGGCGGCGTCGGGCAGCCAGAGGAACGGTGCGTGTTGTGCAACGCTACGCCGCACTCCACCTCCATCCACTCTGCGCTCCACGTGCAAGCCGGCGCGCCCCGATGCCGGCCGTGAGCGCCCTCACCGCTCTCCGCTGGCCCTCGTTAGCCCTCGCGCCGATCTGGCCCGACTGCCATACCGCTCCGACTGCCGGCGAGCACCGGTCCCTCTCGCACTCCTGTCGGCCGCCGATCTCATTCTCTCCCTCGAAACAGCTGAGTATCAAAACAAAGAAGCGAGACGGACGGTCGGTGCTCCCGCTCGCCGGCCGGCCGGTGTCGCGACTCGCGCCGCACGCACGCCAGTTCTCGTCTGAACCGTGTCTATTGAGGTCGTTCGCTGCGAGCTAGCGCGTAAAGTTTGCTGCCGCGAAAGGATTTTCCTTTGTCCCGATCTTCGAGGACTTCGCCCTCGTATTATGTTTCCGCGCGAGAGCCGCGATCAGCCTCGGCCCATTGAAGAGCCGAACCTCATCCAGCGCAAGTCGCGTAGGAATTCTAGCAATATTCCAAAATTTTGTGACGGATATCCCGCGAAACGCGTTCGCCGGGCAATTTGAAATTTCTGTGTGAACTTGTGACAGAGATCTGTGTGGACGAGAGGACCGCTGTCAGTGTGCGTGCAGTGAAGTCGCGCCGAGCCCCCAGGACCGGCAGCGCCATGTCGACCGGCAAGAGACTCGCGAAGCGCTCCATCATCGGGACGCGCGTCGCCGCGCTCGCCGAGGACGGACTTTACTACTCGGGTATGATACAGGCAGTGAAAACGCCGGCGCCGTTTCCGGAGAATAACAACTGCATAAACCTGACCCCAAACACTCGGTACACCGTGCGCTTTGACGGCGGAAAGATGAGTCGTGAGTACCGCGACGCTGAGCTGATCGGGCCCGGCTTCCGCGGGTTGGTGGGCGTGCGGCTGCAGCCCGGCCAGCGAGTCTTTCTCACGCACAACGGCCGGGAGGTACGCGCGGACGTGCTTCGCCACGACTACCAGACCGACGAGCTCCGCGTTCAGGTTCACTCGCCCACTTCTGAGGTCAGTACAAATTTTATTACTGTTTAATATTAGTGACACTTAAATGATATATAAGAGGAGGAGGATTTTAACTCTATTTGAAACTCGCATAAGTCTTCAATGACTCGCGTACAACCCCAACATTCACAACAGAACCAAACTTATCAAGTGGTATCGTTCGATAAGGTGATTAGCTGTCGTTGGCAACGATGTTGACATTGGAAAAGTTTGCATGAAGACAAAGGCTGGTCGTGCGGGGCGCGCTGGTGACCCGCACTGCGCACGTGCAGCGTGGCTCACGGCCGGCTAGCAGCGCGTTGCACGACTATCGCACGATACCTTATCGCCCTTTGTTATTTAATTGTTCCAAGCATACTAAATCGAAATGTTAGTTTCATAAACAGTCAAAAGATGCACCTCCTACCTACCGCTTACACTATGATATATTATTTCCCGACTTATAGCGTCACTTTATAAAACTCGGTTTATCCCATATTTAACTAAAACAAGGAAGAAGATCGTATCAAAGAACGGTCGGCGTTGGGTAAATAACATGTTTTGTTTATGTGGATTACGTAAGCGCCGGCGAATTACACTTGTTTACCGGTATACAGTTAACCGCAGTGTCACGACAACTATGCACGACGTCACCGATACACGAGTATTTTCGAATTAACACCGTGTCGCACGTGAACGTTTATCGACTGTTTTGGCGTCATTCATAAAATTCGATTAGATAGTTTAAATATTGAAATACGATTAATAAGTAGCAAAAATAACCTAAGGATAAGTGACTTCTCATTCTGTATTCAAAATCACTTAGGACAAAAATAATTTAATAACACCCCCACAGATGTTGACACTGGAGATGATATAGCGCCCTTGTTAATTCATTCTCACGTTGGTTTTCTCACGGTCTTTGTTTTTTATACGTACGTGGAAAATTTAGTGCCGAGCCTACGTGTGCAGAAAGAGCACGCGCATTTGTCCTCCATGCCCGTCGCCCGTTGTCCGCGCGTCGTACGCGAGTAGATACTACGTGTGCTTGAAATTCGGTCACGCCGGCACCGTTACCACAAACAACTGTACATAATTGGATTAAGATTTTCCCCTGCGCTTACGCATGTCGACTTGGAATACTGTGTACACAAATATTCTTTGTCACATTTTTTCATAAAGAAATTGATTACATAATTACTAGTAAATAAAGCACGATTATAATAAAATTTTCTTGAAATGTCTCAAGTAAGGTTTGTTGGTGCTGTAATTTTTTGTCGACTCTACATCCTGGATTTTCGGTGCATCAGATTGTTTTTTAAGTTACATTCACGACGAAGTAAGTAAGCTCTTGGTTCCGGTCGTTGTGTTACCGGTTACAACAAGGCCGATTAGGACAACTTACTAAGGTTAATTTTATTCATCTAGTATCCGGGTTATATTTTGTAGGAAACGCAAAATTTTGATACATTTACAATTTTTAAATATCGTTTATACATCTCAATTAAAACCATTACGACACGTTGTTAAATATACCAACAGCTTATGGATCTGGATGGACTTAACTCTTCATAATTTTTAGTAGGTACTGTGAGAATCTTACCGCTGTCTCTGAATTAGGTTAAGCAATTATAATTAATATACCTCAGTTTATACATAAGGAAGACTAAAAACCCGACATTTTACGAGCAGAAACCGCAAACTGAAATGGGAACAACTACACCGTCATCGTTCAAAACTATTTTTAAAAAGTAACGTTACAAACATGTTTTTATTTTACAAATGCCGGCCGGCGCACGACCACTTCAACGTTATCATTCCAAATACAACACAAATTACTGTTTTAAGTGATAACTGATAATTGTCATTAGAATTCGATCATAAGACTGCGAGCCCCTTCGTCATATCATCTGTCAACTTTCGATTATTTGATAACATGTCGGTTGACCGTGACACGTTTTATAAAAATTACAATAAAAATGAAAAATGTAATGTTATCTGATTAAAATTAGTGAGCTCTAGGTCGTTCAAACACACTTGTCTCATGATAATAACGAAACTATTTACCTACTATACTAAAGATAAAGTCGTTTTCAAATGTCGTCGTTTTATAACGTAAATTAGTTCAAAAGCTCAGTGCAAACATAATACTGTTAGGAGTTAATATTTTTCGGGAAAATTTAACGAGGATGACCGTTCTACTCTGATCTGTATCCTAAAAGGCTGGACCTGTTTTGAACTATAGGATGTCGTGTTCCATATTTTCCCCAGTATTTTAGTTATAGTCTGGGTTTACAGTGTGAGGTTTACACATTGTGACGTCACGCCTCGGCCCACAGCCGACGCTCATACGGTGACGCCAATACGTTCTCTCATTCACGGCCGCATTGCAACTCGAAATATCATGTAATAATTATCACATACTCGCCCCACACATATTCAGATACTAGAACAAAATATTTCAGCGATGCATATTTAAATATATGCGTATTTTGTTTACTATCCCGGCATACGTATTACTATTTAAAAAAAAGCATAAAGGTCAATGCGCACATTGTTTACATTAATGGCGCTTGTGTCAGATAACTGGCGGCACAGATAGGCTATAGTTTACGTCACAGCTCGCTACGGCGCTAATAGCGCGCCGCTCGCCACTTGTCACTTGCATCAAAACAACTTAAGATAACATAATAACACTGTTTACACCCCGACACAAACTGCGTGTTATTGTTCATCTTTTAATGTGTTTTCATAGTTATTGCAAATAGATTATATTATACTGCGCAGCGATTTAATTTTCCTTTATTGCACAGAAAAGTACAATGTCTCCAATTGTGACGTGAGTGCATTTAGCAAAAAAGTGCAGCTGTAATAAAGTAACATATTCCGACCACAAAGATAATTAAAATTCAATCAAGATAAAATAATAAAGAAATATATTTTACAAATGTAGAGATCATAAATTTTCATTAAATGTTTTTCAAGCTCAAAGCAATAATCATGGCGTATAGTAGTCGGTAAATGGAATTGCATATAGGAAATTACGTCGGCCCCGGCCTTTTTGCGAGAAAATAATTATCTGTGGTGACGCGGTATTCCCCCGCGAGCGGCGAGTGAGGCGAGCAGCGTCACACGTAATTGCACTGAGCTCGACAAGTGACGGCAAAGCACTCGTTACGCGGAATCGCCTCAATCGAAACTGATTGGCTACGCCGCGCCTGACTCACACCGACCAAACTCGCTCTACGTTCTTTTTACGACCAAAACAAAGTTTACTGCCTACGTTAGATCAGCGCACTATTAATATACAACTAGCTCCCAATAATACGATTTTTTTATCAATAGTTGTCAATAATAGTGCTTCAATGTGCATAAATCATCAACCATATATCATGACCTTATCGAATACCTGAGTAAATTATAGTATTCCTACGTTGAAAAGGCTTTTTCCCCCAACATACAAAGCGTTCGGAGTTATCTCCAAGCACGCGAAATTCAAAAAATATTTTGTTATTTTCTGACTAACTACTTATTCTTATTTAAGAGTGTAGTATTGCTTTCTAAAATGTTCACGGTTAGTATTCACAACGTAACATTCATTTTCTGACATCTCATACCTCATAATTCTACGGACTATAAAGCAAATTTATCTTCGAACCAAATAAAAAAAAATCTTGCTAACAGTTAATTTCAAAGCAAAAAACCTAATTACTATCGCGCTTTCGTTATTAAATTGATGAATAAAAGCTACTTCCGTTCATTATAGCCTGATAATGTCAGGGCAGAGAGATATAAAAATAAAGAACGTTGCGACGACTGCGCGGCCGAGAAATAAGGACGCCGGCCGGTCCGGAACAGTGTAACGGTATACATTACAAAATCGCCTCAAGAATTATTTTCACGTGCGCGGCGCGACGGGACCGTTAGCCCGCGAAGCCCATCAACCAAGCTCCATCGCCTTACCGCCTCAGCGTCGCCTCGCCGCGCTAAGTAGAACAACCGCTAATGTCCAGATTGCCTCGCTTCCCAGAATTGCCGGCAGAAGCAGTCAATATCTTACACTGATGACCGTGCATTGAGGCAGGTCCATTATGCCACTACCACTTCAATTTAAATCTTGTAATTACATTTTGAATTTCAAATTGTCAAATGAAAATAAAGTTTCTATTAAAAGTCAGAATCAAAAAGAGAGAAATAAATTTTCATTAACAAAGTTACAATATATTCAATTAATATTAACAAAAAATGTAGCATTTATAGAACATGTTGTGGTCGAATCATTTTAATACTTTAATGACTCTACATTTTTGACATTGCTGACGTATTTTTACGATTGCCTTGCTTTTTCTGTGTACTAAAAGACGACTCAGAAGTAGACGCATTACAAATTATTGTTGTAATGTAACGTAGTCAAAGAACCTATTGCTCGCCGTTCGAAGTAGGCTATCTTCGAGTTACGTAAACATTGTGATTTCCCTGCATTTGCAACCGCGCCTTTCGTTCGCTGAGGTCGCAGCAAGCGCGGGCGCGGTGCGGCACGGTGCGGTGCGGTGCGGGCGCAGTGCGGCGTGAGTGTGAAAGTGCCTCGCCACGCGGCCATGTACCGTTTCAGATTCACTCACTCACTTTTACACAATACATTGTTCCGACCTTTACAACCTGACTTTGTTTTAGACATAACAAACGCAGCTTAGTGGTATTCGCAAAGAATTTGAAATATTGAGTTTGAGTTCTTGCGTAATTTGTTGTATTCGTTGCATGGCAGTTGAGCTTCGGCCACTCTTGCGTCACCCTACTGTTTCCCAAGATTATCAAAACAGATATAAAAATCTTGAAAATTTCTAAACAAATGTTTTTATGCTAAGGCAATATCCCTAGTTGTTTCCAGGGTCGTTGTCTTTAAAATGTTGTATTATTGATAAAAAAAATCTAGCGCGTGCTCTGAACACGAAGTGTCGTGAACAATTGTAAGTGATAATTATATTCTTTGTAATGAATATCGCATTTGTTACTTGACGGGGAAA